GGACATCCCCTGAGGGCTCCTGGGCTGCAAGAGGGTGCAGGCTGGGCTGAGGGACCCCTCAGAGTGCACAAATTTCATGCACCAGGCCTCTAGTAAATAATAAAATAATTAAAAATACTATTCTCAGAAGAAAAAAAGGAATAAGGACCAGTTGAAGTTGCAGACCTGACTGATTGAACAGCTACTTAAAGAAAAAAAACTAAGCAGTCGCAGGTGACTTACATTTTGAGAAAGCTAGAAGACATTGTCCAGTTGCATACTACCCTTAATGCTGTTGTATATTTCTGTAGGAATATTCTATGTAAATTATGAAGATAAGCATGAACATACTTATTTAAGCTGTATTAATAGAACAACCTTTTCTCTCTCTCTCTCTTTTTTTTTTCTAGTGTTAAGACACGGCCAGTGCGGATGCCACCAGGTTATCAAGCAGAACTTGTTATTCAGTTGGTGTGGGTGGATGGTGAACCGCCCCAACAGATTACTAGTCTTGCTGTTAGCTCAGCATATGGAATGTGAGTAGCTAAACATTCTTTCTAATTTGTATTATTTATGTAATATGTTTGATATATTTAGATATTTCCTTTTAAATACTTAAGTGGAGTTCTAAATATGGAAAGAAAATCCTTACTTGGATTTTTCTTAGATAAAACATGGTATAAGAAAAATAACAATCTATATATATATAAAATCCCAGTGACTGGAACAGCAGAACAACCAGAACAACCAGTGGCTATGAAGTGCACTGCGGCAGCCAACCAGTGTGATCTGGGTCCTGATCAGCCCAGCCGGCTCAGCCCCCGATCAGCCCCCAACACCCCTATCAGGGGCGGGGCCAGCTGGCCAACCGCCCACCCACCACCAGCCCAGCCCAATGGGCCCAAAATCGGTGCTGGCCAGCCAGATACCACCCTGCATGAATTCGTGCACTGGGTCTCTAGTTTAAATATAAAATATGATTATTTGTGATGTCAAATTTGTGGTAGTATTTTCATTATTAATGTTAGCAAGTTGTTAGGATGTTATTACACTTATACTTTTGTTTGTATACTTCTTTCTCTTGGATTTGTATGTATATTTTATTGTTTTTCTCCTTGTGTTTTTTATTTTTTTATTTTATTTTTATTTATATATTGTCTAAAGTTTTACATATGTCTCCTTTTTCCTCGATTGACCCTCCCCCCCCCCCACCACAGACTGCGAGAGGGCACAGGCCGGGCTGGGGGACCCCCCTCTCCCCCCACCCCCCGAGTGCACAAATTTTTGTGCACTGGGCCTCTAGTATATATATAAAATCCCAGTGACTGGAACAGCAGAACAACCAGAACAACCAGTGGCTATGAAGTGCACTGCGGCAGCCAACCAATGTGATCTGGGTCCTGATCAGCCCGGCCAGCTCAGCCCCCGATCAGCCCCCAACACTCCTATCAGAAGCGGGGCCAGCTGGCCAACCGCCCACCCACCACCAGCCCAGCCCAATGGGCCCAAAATAGGTGCCAGCCAGCCAGATACCACCCTGCATGAATTCGTGCACTGGGTCTCTAGTTTAAATATAAAATATGATTATTTGTGATGTCAAATTTGTGGTAGTATTTTCATTATTAATGTTAGCAAGTTGTTAGGATGTTATTACACTTATACTTTTGTTTGTATACTTCTTTCTCTTGGATTTGTATGTATATTTTATTGTTTTTCTCCTTGTGTTTTTTATTTTTTTATTTTATTTTTATTTATATATTGTCTAAAGTTTTACATATGTCTCCTTTTTCCTCGATTGACCCTCCCCCCCCCCCACCA